TCTTCATTTCAAATTGAAAATGAAGTCTGTGACTTTTTGCAATAAATATCAGACACCATTACGAATATAACTGCTCAGATTACATTTGCATTCCCAAATTCATTTTATAACTATTGAAATGAAGATGGAACAGTATGAATGAAGGCTTCAAATTTGGAGGCCAGATTCCTACAAATCTATAAAGATGGGAATCAGCATTTGTGAACTATTCCAAAAACAAGCTAATTAATTCATCCTACTACTTTGCTTTTGGCTCTGATGATATTAAACCAGAGTGGTAATGGGTTATCCCATGCTGGTTAGAAGCTCTAATTGTCATGCATATTTTAGATGAATAAAAATATAGGACTGAATTATTTATTTTTGAATAAATAAAGTTTATTAGAGAATACAAGTAAAAATTATTGCCCTTGAGAGGAAAAATAAAAGGAGTCTGTAGTGAGTCGCATAATGTCTCCCCAAAATTCATGTATACTTGGATCTTCAGAATGTGACCTCACTTGGAAATAGCGTCTTTACAGATATAATTAGTTAAGAATCTTGAGATGAAATCATCCTGGATTTAGGGTGGGGTCCACATCCAATGACTAGTGTCCTTATAAGAAGAGAGGACACAGAAAGACAGAGGAAGGAGATGCAGAGATAGGAGAGATGCATCTACAAGCCAAGGAATGTCAAGGATTGCCCGCAACTATTAGAGGTTAGGAGACAGACATGGATGGATTCACTCAAAGCCTCCAGAAGGAACCAACCCTGCCGACACCTTTATTTCAGACTTGCGGCTATTTTTTTTAAATGATTTTACCCTCTGTAGAGAGAAAATTCTAAAAGTTTACATTTATTTAGGGAGTCAGTATCTTGGTTTGATAATACTGAGGTGAATGTGTTAAATTCCATTTGCCAAAAAACTCATAAACACTAAACAATTCACATTGGCAAGTTCTTTGGCCATGTGGCTATTATTATAATCTTCATTTATTCTCCAGACCACTCCTTTCTCAGCTGTTCAGTGGCATAGAGTTAGTTTTAGTGGTAGGAAATCTTCAATTCGGGTACCCAAAAGTCATAATATGACATCAGATTCTTGGCTTTTTGTTTTTCACCTTACAAATTAAATTAAAAATACACATTTTACTGTTGTTACAAAGGTAAGCAAAAATCACTATTAATATTTGGGTATATATTACTCTAAATATTTTCCTATGAATTAATGTTTTTTGCCTTTTAAATATGAACTCATGTACTAATACTGATTTAAAACTGAGTTATTCACTTAAGAATATGTTTTAAATATTTAACATGTGATTTAATATTTTTACATTACATCATTATCAACAGATGTACAGTGTTCCATGATATGATTTTGTCTGAAATTTCTAGGTAACTGCCTATTTGGATACTTGGGGTCTTTTTTCTTTTTATTTGCTATTAAAGTAACAGTACAATGAACATACTTAACAGTTAAAAACTTTGCAAAAAATATGGCTGCAGACTTGGAATAAACTCCTAGAAGCAGAAAATCTGGATCATACATTTATGAAGATACACACACAAACATGCACACACAACTACACACATCCACACACAAAGATATACACGTAGATAGATAGATAGATAGATAGATAGATAGATAGATAGATAGACAGACAGATAGATAACACATATCCTCACGTTGCTTTCCAGAAAGAGTCTAGAAATTTTCTGTCCCCCAAGCAGTATATGAGAGTTTGTATTTCTTTCATATGCTTTCCAGAACAGGGTGTCATCATCTATTTTTATCTTCATTACTTTGATCAAAGAAAAATGCTAACTCATTTTTGTTTTAATTTGCATTTCTCTACTGTTAAGAGTGAACATTTTATCATGCCATTGGCTATTTATACTTCTGTAAATTGAATATCCAATCCTTAGTTTTTCTACTGGAATGCTCATCCTTTAATTAATTATTTTATAAAAAGAAGTATATTTTATATTTCCAATCTTTTTCATTGCGAAGGAAAAGCAATGAAAAAAAGTTTCAGGGCTTCAAAGGCCTACATCTATCAAAAAATAAGTCTTGGTGCTTGTTTCAGTAGCACATATACTAAAATTAGAATCATACAGAGAAGATTAGCATGGTCCCTGCGTAAGGATGACTCACAAATTCGTGGCCCATATTTTTTATGATATATATGAAAGTTGTTAAGAGAGTAGATCCTAAGAGTTGTCATCACAAGGAAAAAAATTTTTTTTCTTTGTTTGCTTTTCATTTTTATTGTATCTATATGAGATGATGGATGCTAACTAAACTTATTGTGGTAATCATGTTACAACGTATGTAAGTCAAACCATTATGCTGTATATCCTAAACTTATACAATGATGTATGGCAATTATATCTCAATTAAACCAGGGAAAAAAGCTTGGATTAAATTATTCTTACAGTCTCTTCTTCTAGTCTAATATTATATTTTATGAATTATACTAAAATTTTTCAGCAAGATTTTTCAATTTTGATGATGTCTTTCAAAGTAAACTACATGTTGTGCTAAGTATGTCATTGAGCACATTTGCCTCACTTCACCTTTAATTATTTTAACCTCTTTCTCATCATCTCATCAGAGAAAAAGACACAGGATCTTGGCTTTTCTTAAGCTTTTTAAATGGTACAGTAGAGTGCCATGACTTCCGCTTAGATTCAACAATACCTGCCCAGGAGATTTTGTCTAGATATAAAACAAGTACTGTGATTTTTGGCAGTCTGTCTTGGAAGCACTCTTGCCATGATGCTAAAATTCTATAGGCATAAAAGGCAAAATCCAGGAGGGAAAAATACAGGTTTAGACCAAGTCTCAGAGTGTGGGTTGAACAAGTACAGGTTTCCTCCACTATCAGAAAATTCGATTTTCTCCCCTTCACTTTTACAAAAGACCTATATTAGTATCTGTTTTCACTAACCAAAAGAAATCCAAAGAGGATTTTCGCTTTTACAAAAAAAGGCAAAAAGTGAAAACAACATTCAGCGTTTGTTTTGCGGCAAGCCTTTATAGAGGCCAAGCAGTCAAGGATACTGCCATATTTCAAGACTTTCACGTCAGCCACAGCAGACGACAAACCTCCACCTTCAACATCAAGGCAGGCAGACATAGAAGAAGGTGTAGACGTTAGTGATCTGCCTGCCCTGATGGATTCAGAGGATGATGAGATGTTGACAGATGACCCTCTTCCTCTCTCACCTACACCCCAGTCTCCTGTACCTCATGCCACCCCAACCACCCATGACTCAGCCTAATACACCATCATCACTTCCACCTCTCAGCCTTCCGATGTGCTCGCTGTCTTTTCGGTTCTGGTAAGTGAAACTACACTGTAAATACATGATTTCTACTTTATATAGAGTGTGTATTTGTCACATCATCCCTGCTTTTACCGTATTTCAGTGTGAATCACACACTATGATTTCAAATGAAAATTTACTGAGTACTTTGCTATAGAGAAAGGAATCAGTAAGGAGTTACTTTCTTCTTTCTCCTTTGCAATGATAGTTTACTTTATCCATTAGCAGTAAGTTGTGAGTTTCAGTTTGTGTATTGTCCTGGACCCAGTTTATGTTCCACTCCAGGTTTGCTCAACTTCACGCACCAAACTTTGTCATGAGCTCATGCTATATGCTTTGCTTCCCAAGCCCCTGGCAATAGTTCATGCTCTTCTTAGGGCTATAAAGCCCTGAGTACTGCTGTTACCCTAAACCAAGTCATGACCGTATAAAGTGCCAACTGACAAGGAGAGACTTCCATGTTTGTATGTTCAACGGAAGCTCTGGCTTCCCAGCAGGCTGTCTGGAGGTACAGAATAGTTAACAACCTGTTGGTGGACCTTGACCAACGATGGACAAGAGAGAAACTGCTCACACTTCCTATCCAGCCATTGACTATGAGACATAGTCCTTCATGTGGCTGCTCCAGAGATACTGCACAAGGACAAGCAAGCTCTGTGTTTGTTGTAAACTTGTGGCCAGATTAATAACATGCCACCATTATTGGTTTCTCATCTTCCTTGGCTCACTTCCTGTGTTCCCTCACCCTTGCTTTCCTGGGCTTGCACCCCCAAAGGCATTATCTTGAAAGCCTGCGTCAGTCTCTGTTTTCTAGGAACCTGGAGTGACATGTCTTAAGGGTTCCAATAGTTAAAGGAAATATATGATCATTCATTTTATAAAATAAAAAGCATATTCTCTAAATATTGCATGGAAACTGGGTCCAGTTTTCATAGAGAAGCTTGACCTACCATGAGTCCCACCAATACAGCTACAAAAGTGAATTTACTTTATTTTTTTGGTGAGGAAGATTAGCCCTGAGCTAACATCTGTTGCCAATCCTCCCCTTTCTAATGAGGAAGATTGGCACTGGGCTAACATCCGTGCCCGTCCTCCTCTACTTTATATGTGGGATGCCTGCCACACTATGGCTTGACAAGCAGTGTATAGGGCTGTACCTGGGATCAGAACCCGCAAACCCCAGGCTGCGGAAGCGGAGCATATGAACTTAACCACTACGGCACTGGGCTGGCCCCATGAATTTACTTTTATGCTTATGGAAAGTGAAGTAATCTCTCTGTTTATTCAAAAACTATCCTTCTCCCCATTTTCCAACCCCATCCTCACCCCTGGAGATTAGGAGAGGGGTAATCAACGTGACTTTCTTAGAACTATTTGATTAGACGACTTTTAAAAGTTATTTAACAATAGGATTTATTGCTAAATCAGCAATGCTTAGAAACTAATATGGATAAAAAAATCTATGAAACATTTATGAAGATGATGATCCAGAAGGAAAATATGTAGTGAAAGCATTATAGAGAATATAAAGTTTAAAAAATAAAGGTTATTCTTGTTCAGACCAATAAATGTCACCTGCCAGGGAAAATAAAGAAAAGAACATTATTTAGAAGTGAGAGTATATTTTATTCCTAAAGCATTTAATTCATCAAAACCTTGCAAGAGTACATCATGTGAACACTGACCTGTGAACAGGTACCAGAGGTTGTTTGGCTCCAGTGTTTCCATCTCGCCTCTGCGGGTCGTCTTTCTGTGTCGAATTTTATAGCCAGTAATAAATCCATTTTGTGTTCCTGATGGAGGAGGCAGCCAGCTTACTTTGATACTCTGTAAAATAACAGATAGAAATTAAAACATTGGAGAAAGGAAGGACAACAGGACAGGATCAAAGAAACGACCCAAACCAAACCTAAGTATGAATAAAAGAGAGAGGAAAGGAGGGTGAGAGATTGCTATTAGAGCCAAATTAAATCCATTCTTACAACCTGACGGTATTCCTATTTGTCTGATTTTGACAAAAATACACAATTCATCTGATTGATTACACGCATTATCTCCTCTCCGGTGCAAATGACACCAAAATGACAGTAAAATATTCTAAAGGATATAAACCCATAAGGAAATAGAGAATAAGACTCCAATGGATGAGAGACGTTACCAAATATTTAGGAGGTGCAAATTGAGGGAAGCGTGGTGACTGAGCCAAAGGAGAAAAATGAAACCTAAATACCTCTTAAAAGATATTAATGCAAACAAGGTGATTTGCATGACAAAATTCAGGAAGGACTGGAAATTGTTGCTTCCTAAGTACCTTGGAAGGCAGGGCTGAAGCGTGACGCTGAAATAGGAGATGAACTGAAGGTCCTACCCACATGCAGCAAAACTAATCTACTAACTCTCCCTGACCCTGGAGTAGCTGCGAGCTTTATTTTCTAGGAATATTAAAACAGAATTCACAGGTTCAGAGATACCAGGCACAGAAGAGAGGAGGGATGACACAGACATAAGACACCCAAATCTTCTTCCTTCACCTGATACCTAGAGCAATGACAACTAGGTGTATACTTCCCAGGCAGAATATCAGACAACTGCTCTCTAGAGAAAATTATAAGTTTGGCCCTAGAGAAAACAACAGCCAGGTCCCTGATCAGTCCCCCAACAATGAGGTTCTCATTTAATAACCCTCACTCATGCCCTAGAATTTGCAATTGGCAATCAGTTTTTTAGTATTTCATTTTCATGTAAACTGACAATTTAAGACTACCAGATATCAAAAATGCTTTTAGCATAAAAGACAGAGGAAAAAATACATGAGAACATAATGACACTTGAAGGAAATAGCACTAATGCTTAGAGCAGAAAAAGGATCCAAAAAGCTGTCACTAATACCCTGATAATCTAAGAGAAGATATTACATCCATGAACAGGATAAAAATACAGGAATAATGAAAGCTTTTTTTTTTTTTATTGAGGTCATTGTTTTATAACATTGTGTAAATTTCAAGTGTACATCATTATATTTCAGTTTCTGCATACACTAGTTTCCATCCATCACCATACGTATGAAAGATTTTTTTAAAAAGCTTATGACAATTATAATTTGGTCACACAAATGAAATATTCAATAGATAAGTTGGAAGATAAAGTAAAAGAAATCTCCTAAAATTCAGTGGAAAAAAAAGACAATCATAGGAAATTGGAGAGAAAAGATAAGAAATTAGAGGTTTAGTCCATAATTTCCAACACCCAACTAATAAGGTGAAAGAATGAAAAAGCAGGAAAAATAGAAGGCAGAAAATTAGCAAAGACAACCAAACAAAAACCCCTCCCCCCCAGTAAAAACCTTGCAAAACTGGAAGACTTGAGACCCCAGTACATGAAAAAGAACCCCATCAAAGTGCATTACTGTGAAATAGTAGAGCTTCAAGGGGGAGAGAGGATCCAAAAGCTTCCAGAATGGGGAAAAAACAGCAGGTCACATAAAAAATGATCAGGAGTAGGAATAGTAAGGAGTAAGATTTCTCACCAACATTTGAAGTTAGAAAACAATAGAACGATACTTACAATTCTAATCCTAAAGGATTTTAAAGCTAGAATTGTAAGGCTAGACAAATAAATTATCAAGTATAAAGAAAATATAACACAAGTGAAATAATTGATCCTTGTATAAGTACAAGTATAGGGATATTTCAGATCTACGTGGTTTCAAAGATATCCTCCATCTGTGTTCCCTTTATCATGAAGCTAATGGAGGGTTTGCTTGAGGTAAGTAAGAGTGCAAATTGGGAAAGAAAAAGATCTGAAATCCAAGACAGAGAACCCAAAACTGAAAGAAAAATATGGACTTTTTCAGTGAAGAAAATTATAATATGATATATGATTACATATGACGAGTTAGACTCAAAAGAGTACATACTGTATAATTCTATTGATATGAAGTTCAAGAACAGACAAAACTAATCTATAGTAATACAGATCAGGACAGTAGTTGCCTATGGCATTTGCACTGGGGGACTGATTGCCTATAAGTAGAAGGAGACTTTCTGGGGTGATGCAAATATTCAGCATATTTATTTCACGTTTGTTACATGGATGGATACAACTGTCAAATTCATTATTACAGGCTAAATTGTGCCCCTGCTCCAAATTCATATGTTGAAGTTCTAACCCCTATGACCTCAGAATGTGACTATATTTGGAGACAGGGCCTTTAAAGAGGTCATTAAGGTTAAATGAGGTCATTAATGTGGGCCCCAATCCAATATGACTGGCTTCCTTATAAGAAAAGAAAAGAAGATTAGGACACAGATACACAGAGGAAGACCACATGAAGACACTGGAAGAAGACAGTCATCTATAAGTCAAGGAGAGAGGACTCAGAAGAAACAGCTCTACTGATACCTTGATCTTGGACTTCAAGCCTCCAGAACTGTGAGAAAATAAATACCTGTTACTTAAGTCACCCAGTCTGTGGTATTTGTTAGGGCAGCACTAGCTGACTAATACACTTATGGAACCAAACACTTAAAGATTTGTGTATTTCACTTTGATTAATTGCACCTCAACCAAAGAAGAAGGAATAGAAGGACAATGAGGAAGAGGAGAAGGAAGAGTAGCAGGAGGAAAAAAAGGAAGAAGATTAGGGATGGGAAGTGGGGACGGAGATGTGTAAAAGAGCTAAATTCTGACATAAAAACAAATCAACAGATGCTATCTAAAATTGGTGAATTAAAACTAGTGAATTAAGGGACAGCTACATAAGCACATTATTGAGAAACATAAAGGTAAATGCCAGAAAAGAAATGAAAGCCAAGAGAGATGAACATGGAAGTCTGAAGGAAATGGGAATAGGGTTTAGGGAGGGTAAGGAAGGGTCTACTGATTTTTGTTATAAGCCTACTGGTACTGTTTAACTTTTTAAAAAATAGCATGCATGTAATATTTTGATGAAAATTTAAATTAATTTCTAAAATAAACACAAAAAATTGTTCTTTTGAGGTGGTAGAAGTAAATAACTGATTGTCAGAAAGAGGCCAGACAAAAACTCAAGGAATGGATTTCTGAGCCCCCTGGCCCACAATCCTAGGACCTTTCCGACCTCATTTCAATCATACGGCAGTGTAGCAGGGGCAGAGCAGCATTCTCCAGGGAGACGGGTGTCTGAGACCCTTCTTCCAGATCTACTACAAATTGAGAGTGCTTTACAAATGAATAAGCTCCGTTCTAAAAGGATAAAAAACTCATCTAAAGTCACAGTTACTTGCTAAACACTTAGTTTCAAAAAACTTGCCAATTACAGTTGATTCTCATTGTTCGCAGTAGTTATGCTCTATAAAGTTGCAGCGAACACTGAATATTGAAATAACGCTCCTAAAGAAAATACAGGTTTAGGTTCCTATGAGTCTTTGGTTACATTTTTGTCAATTCATCAATACATAAGTTTGTTTTATGTGTTTTTCTGTTTAAAGACGCCTTATTTGATATTACTGTTGATTCATTAACATTGAACTCATGGCCGGCAGCACAAGAACTCATGTCTGAATGAAGCTTGTCTAACTCATGTATTTTCTCCACAAGGCACGTCACAGCCTTCTTGCACTTAGGAACACTAGACAGCACTTCAACACTACACTTGGGGGCCATTTTAAACAGTGAAATCCTCAAGGAAAAGCAAAAAAAAAAAAGAAAATGCAAAATATGTGGCACTCATTTGACTGCAAAAAGACACTTCTCCAAGTGTATTTTGAACAAAGCATTCTGTTGAATAGAGCATCTCCTTGTTCAACCTTAGCTGGGAATGTGTACTTCTGGAGACTGAAATTTTTCACTGCCCTCCGTGTGCACATGTCTGTGAATGACTGTAAAGGTATTGTGGATATTGCTGTGGGGTTATGAACAAATTTTAGTGGGTAGGCGAATTTGCAGCCAGCCCTGGTGGTCCAGCGGTTAAGATTTGGGGCTCTCACTGCCACAGCCCAGGTTCTTTTCCCAGTCAGGGAACCACACCACCTATCTGTTTGTTGTCATACTGTAGCAGCTGTGTATCGCTATGATGCTGAAAGCTATGTCACTGGTATTTCAAACACCAGTGGGGTCACCCATGGTTGACAGGTTTCAGTGGACCTTCCAGACTAAGACAGACTAGGAAGAAGGAACTGGCCACCCACTTATGAAAAAATTGGCCATGAAAACCCTATGAATAGTAGTGGAACGTTGTCTGACATAGCACTGGTAGGTGAGAGGATGGCACAAAAACACCGGGAAGGGTTTTGCTCTGCTGTACACAGGGTCACTAGGAGTCGGAATGGATTCAACGACACTAATAACAAGATGAATTTGCAAATATAGACTCTGCAAATAATGAGGATCATTACTGTAATTATATAACAAATATGTTTTAATAATTTTAGAGAGACTCAGTTAAATAGAATGAATATGATTTTAAATTGTCAGAATATATTGAAAGAGTATGGCACTACAGAGATCATTTACTTTGTCCCCACTACCCTTTAAACGTGAAAAAGTAAGTACCACTCTTATTAATACCTGTTAACACTTTTTTCACACTTACTATAGACCTGGCAATGATCTAAGCACTGTACATATCTACATGAGTTATGTTTTTTATCTTCACAATGACTCTAAGAGTTAAGATCTGTTGTTATGTCCTTTGTACAATCATATAAACTGGGACACATAATAGTTAAGCAACTTAAAGCCACAGAGCTCTCTACACAGCCATAGAGATAGAGGCAGGATCTAAACTGAGATAATATGAATCTGAAGCTAGCATTCATTACTATTTAATATTGCCTTCCACAAGAGGC